CCCATTAGTGCTGAGGCACTACTTTGGGTAATTACAACAAATGCAAAACAAAACAAAACGATAAAAGGGTTCCCAGTTGGACAGAGGCCTTAGCATTTAGACTGTGTAAACACCTTCCCACATGTTATCTTGTTGACATCCTTACATCCCTGGAGGGAAGGCAGTATTATCATTCCTTTCTTGCAAGTGGGGAAGGAGTGAGGCAGAGGGAAGGAGTGGTGATATGCCCTCAGCTGCCTTGCAAGTTAGTGGCAGAGCTGAGACTCAAACTTCCTAATTTATAGCTCACCATATTGACCACATATCAGCTGTTATATGTCTGGTTTTGTTGCTCAGACAGCTGCTTGATTGCATAAACAATGATGCCAAGCCATATATACTCAAGACACAGTCCTTCCCTTGAGTCCAGCAGTTGGTTTTATATCATTTTCCAGTTGCTGATGAACAGCAAGACCCATCAATCTTTGCCATTGACTGTGCTATCTGGGGGGTCATGGGGGTTTAGCTCAGCATTTGGAAGGTCACAGCCTCTACCCTTCCTTTGCTCAAGGGTGAAATCTTATCCTGGGTTGGGGAACCAGAGGCCTCCCAGATGTTGCTGAGCTTTCATAATCCCTCACGACTGGTCCCATTAACAGAAGGTGATGCAAATTAAAGTCTGCTAGTAGTTGGAGGGTCATAAGCTGCTGACTGTACAATCTACAAATGGTCTAGAGATATGTTACTGTTGTATCCATCTTTTCCTGCAGCAAAAAAAAAAGTGGAACATGCACTTGCTTTGTGCCGTCTTCATTATAATAATGACTTCAGTTGATCCTAATGTAAAGGGCAAAATTACCCCATTGCCAAAGTTTACAAAAATAAAAGCTGTTGAAACGGAAGCCACTGAGAATCTGGATGCCTCTGATGAACCGCTCACTGAAGACAGCCTCCTTACTGAAGAAACTGAAATGGGCGATATTAAAACGGAGTTGTCCACTCCAAACTATGCCTTCAGGACTGCCACCACACTCTTCCCATTTGAAAACTTCACTCTTGACTCAGCTGACTTCTTCTTTAACTGCTGTGATTGCTGCCCCTCAATTCCAGGGGAGAAAGGAGAAGCTGGGGAACCTGGAATACCTGGTATGTGACGGCAAATGTGTACTGTCTTACCAAAGAGTTGTGGTTGGCATTTTGCCATTTCTCTTGCAGACACAAATACATGGATTGGAATAAGTATGATGCAAGGGGGAAAAAGAATGAAGCAATGGGTGACCACTTCTGTAAAGGATGCAAGGTCTTGGGTAGAGAGGTGGAGTGACTTCATCAAGGTACTGAACATTTGGATCAGAGACAGGTTATTGGAGTCCTCCATACATTGTTGAGCTGCAACTCCAAGGATCCCTAACCAGCATAGCCAGTGGTAAGAGATTTTGGGAGTTCTGTATAGGAACATTTGGAGGGCCATATTCTTGGTCTAGATCAGTGGTTGCCATTCTTGGGTAACCCATATGTTCTTGGATTGCAATTTCCAGAAACCTCACCCAGCAGAGCTAGTGGTGAAGGCTTCTGTGGATTGCAGCTTAAGAAGACCTGGGTTACCCAAGGCTGGGAACTAGACTCTATACAAAAAAGATTGAAGAAATGTCCTGATGGGCCTTACAAAAAGTCCACAGGCAATACATAAAGACAGTACTCTTGTCACTACTATTTTGTGGAGGTATGTTGTCTCTAAATTGGTCCTCAGATTTTGAGGCAGGAAGTGGGGGTGGGGGAGTCATTAAAAACCATTACCTCAACTCCCAATTTTAACCCAGCCATCATCTCCTTTTAATCTTCGATAACAGTAAATCAGAAGACTCGAGGTCTTCTGCATTCCCCCACATAATCTGAACACTGCTCTGTTTACCTTTCATGGCTAACAGTATCTCCATTTCTTTTGGAGTCATACTAGTATGATAATGGCAACATCACTTATTAACAATAGTGATTATGAATGCAGTATGCAGTGCAGAGTTAAATATTCCCTTGCAATTTCCTACTCATAATCTGTGTTCATACAACTTGCTTCCAGATGGTCATTCTGTTAGTTTTTCACGGCAGAAAAACAAGTCTTATGACACTTTAATGCACCCTAAAGAAATATAGAAGACATAAATGTTTGTAGACCAGCGATTATGATACCTCATGCCATAATGTGCTAGGGCCAAAGCAGATGATACATTTAGTGTATTTTTAAAGGAAATACTTCTTCAAGTACTGATAGAAGCCTGCTTGTCATAGCACTTAATTTTTCTCAGTTGTGTATTTTATATTTAGTGTGCTTTGATCACTGGAAGCTAAACACGGGCTTTATCTGTGGCTGATTGCTGAAGCATTAAAAACTCAGGAAATTCTGTTGTGGATGGGCGTGTGGGTTAATCACAGGCAATACCTATCCCCACTTAAAAGCTGGCTTGACCTTGAGTCCTTATGGTTTTACAAGAGATTTTGCTGCTCCAGAAATAATTTTCTGCCATTTTATGAATGGGTTATCCATAATTTGTTTTCTATCAATCGTACCATATAACAGTTTTTTTAAAAAAATCTGATTCAGTCTTTTAAAAATAGGTCTTAAAGGAGAGAGGGGAGAAAAAGGCCTCCCTGGTCCACCAGGTATACCTGGACTACAAGGCTTAAGAGGATTCAAAGGGGACAAAGGTAAGGAGTGTAATGAAGTACACTGTTGATCACAAATTTATGGAAGTTTTCCCCACAACATGAGTAGTTTGGAGCACAAAAAGAGAAAACCACTACACTTTTCTTATAGACAATGGATGCATGTCAGGGAAGAATTGGGACTGAACTGGTTCTCTGTGCTCTAGATCTTTATGTGTTTAGCAGAAAATAAGAAAATATAGATATGTTTCTCCATCCCTCTTATAATATTGGAGTCTGGAGTCATCCAATGATGTTTGATGGAAAGAGACCAAATACCTTAATTTTGTGTACAATTGGAATTTGTTGCACTGAAATGACACGGCAGCCACTAATTTAGATGGCTTTAACAGGAGATTATACAAATCCATAGAAGATGGAGCTATAGATGGCAAGTAGTTACAACGGGTTGGGCTCTGCCTCCACAATCAAAGGCAATGTGGCTGTGAATACTGCTTGTTGGAGAACATAGAAAAGTGTCTAACCTTTAGTCCATCTAGGTCCAGTGTTGCTGACTCCGAGGAAGGATTCTTTCCCACCTGGAAATTTCTAGTAGTGTATTACCTAGTGGTCTCCTGACCAAGTACTAGTGAGAACAGGCGCTGCTTAGCTTCCAAGACTGATGAGATGCAATGTGTTCAGGATGGTACAACAGGAGCAAAATTGCTATCTTGTCTTGCTTGTAGGCTTCCCATAAGCATCTGGTTGGCTGCAGTACAACCAGAATACTAGACTTAGCAGGGCTGCTCTTGAGTTCTTAAGTCTACACCCATGGCATTTGCATATAAGGTCCTTTTTCATAGTTAGAATGACAAACCTATAAAATTATCCCTTTTATTCTAGCAATTTGCACTCTGCCATTTATTAAAATTCCTTGGATGGTAAAAAGCAAGGCCTCTAATCATGCCTAACCCTATACACAGATGCTGTTTTCAGACCCTCAGATGGACATGCAGAGGCTAGTAGTAGGGCCAACTACTCAGAATTGTTCTACATCTGAGTTGGGAATCTTTTATTCTAGACCCAGGCAGCAATTTGATTCATAAAACTGAATCTACTATAGCTTATTTTCATTGAGATGCACCACTGTTTGAAGGTAAACTAACATTGTGAAATGTGGTTATGTCCCTGAACACGAACATTGCAAACAACATCACAAATGTGTTGTAGGGGATAAAGGAGAAAATGGTGACCCAGGAGCAAATGGAAGCCCAGGACAACCGGGCAAACCAGGAGAACAAGGTATGACAATGGAACTTCTGCAAGGTGTTTGGAGATATTCGGCCAGTTCAGAATGTTGTGGCCGTATTGTTGGCCAAGCTCAGCTACAGGGAGTCACTGACTCTTTCTTGTTTCAATCCTTTCTCTGGCTTTTTGGACTCTTCTTGGGCACCGTTTAAAGGGCTGGTTGTGAACTTTAAAGCCCTGCATACCTTTTGGACACTTGAAAGACCATATTCTTTCATGAACGTCTGTCTGGTTTTTAAAATCTTCAAGGAAAGCACTTCTCTCTTAGACTTCCTGTGTTTGGAAGCACAGTTGGAGGGGGCAGGGAGCCAGAGCCTTCTTGGTGGCTGGTCCATGCCAAAGGAGGTTATGCTGTCTCCCATTCAGTCATCCTTTTGTTGGCCAAAAGAAGTCAACATCCTATTGGCATACGTCTAGCTGCATACATTTCATTAGTGAATAGGCCTAATTAATGAGTTGTCACACACATTTTTAGTCGCATGTCAGTTGTGCAACTTGGTTGACTGGCCAGATATGCAAATACTAGCTCTTTAACTAGCAGCAGTTCACTGGCATTGAATTAAACATATGCTGGCATAAATCTCCAATAAGATTTCGGTCACAGAGTTGGGGGGGAAAAATCAGCCAGGCCTTTGACATGTGAGATAATTTGCTACTGAAGTTTTTTTTTTAATGGTTTTGTGTTGTCTCTTTCTTTTATATTTGGTTTTAAAAAAGCTTGCTTATCATTTGTTATGCTTTAATTGAAACATTTTAAATTTATATTTTATTTTTGCTAGCTGCCTAGAATGCATTCCCCCCCCAGGAATGAACAAATATATAAGGAAACTAAAAAGATGGCCTATCCATAATGTCTCAACTTTTAATGACACAACTTTCTTCATGGCCAGAGATTGTCACATACTGGAATTTTTGAAGATATGGCAACAGCAAATAACAAACAAACAAACTAGTGCCATGACACCTTTAAGATAAGCAGATCTTTTTCGGTGTGAGCATTCACACTACGTAAACTTTCACCCATGCATCTGAAGAACAGGTCTATAGTCCAGCAGAGCTCACAGTGAAATACATTTTTTTAGTCTTAAAGGTGCCACAGTACTTCTGTTTTGGCTTTGGTTTTTGTTCTTATGTAGTAAAATGCATGCCACTAGTCAGCAGACATTTGTAATACTTTTAGACCAGCTTCCTATTGATGATTTATGCCAGTATAAGTGTAACCATGTACATTGTGGCAGTGAACTGCCACTAATTGAAGTTAATTGCACACATTCCTGCTCATGTGCCAGTTGTGTAACTTGGCATGTGACCAGAAATGCAAGCAGCAATTTGTTGATTCACTATAATTTATGTAACTACAACTTAGCACTGCCATAACTCCCCAATAGGATTTCCATTTCAACCAACCACCTACAAGTGTTGCCTCGCTAGACGATGATAATCCGTTCCACTGAAATCACTGTTTAGTGAAATCATTGTCTAGCGAAAATCATTTCCCCCATTGGAATGCATTGAAACCTGTTTAATATGTTCCAATGGGAAAGAATCGTCATTGTCTAGCGAAGATCGGCCATAGGAAAGCTACTTTGTGAACTGCCAATCAGCTGTTTAAATTGCTGTCTTGTGAAGCTTAGGTCCCGAAAACACATATGCTGGCATAAATCTCCAATAAGATGTCGGTCACAGAGTTGGGGAAAAATATCAGCCAGGCCTTTGATACGTACATCGTGACAGTGAACTGCCACTAACTGAAGTTAATTGCACACATTCCTGTTCATGTGCCAGTTATGTAACTTGGCATGTGACCAGAAATGCAAGCAGCAATTTGTTGATTCACTATAATTTATGTAACTACAACTTAGCACTGCCATAACTCCCCAATAGGATTTTCATTTCAACCAACCACCTGGTTGATGGGATTCTGGTAACTTCTCGAGGCTCTGCTTCCCCCATTGCAGAAAGGACTTGGTAGGCCAATGAATTCACAAAGCAGGGTAATATACCAAACATTGTCCAGTGAAATTCCCGCATAGGAATCACTATAGTGATCGCAAAAAGCCAATGTATAGCAAAAAAACTGTAATGCGGGGTAACTGTCTAGCGAGGCACCACTGTACTTGACGGGATTCTGGTAACTTCTCTAGGCTCTGCTTCCCCCATTGCAGAAAGGACTTGGTAAGCCAATGAATGCACAAAGCAGGGTAATATCACTTGAGGCTGATTTTTATTTGTGACCCTGTATTTCTGTCTTTGCTGTTTGCAGGTGAAATGGGATTTAAAGGAGACAAAGGAAACCATGGGCTGCCTGGAGCCAAAGGTCAAAAGGGTGCTAAGGGGGAGATGTGTGAGAATGGCACCAAAGGAGAGAAAGGAGACAAAGGGGATCTGGGGTTGCCAGGCATTGATGGAGAAAATGGAGAGAAAGGAGAAAAGGGGGACCTTGGTGAAAAGGGCTACTATGGAGATCCTGGTGAAAAGGGAGAACGAGGAGAAAAAGGAGACATGGGGCTCAAAGGAGAAAAGGGAATCAAAGGAGATGCTGGGATGGAAGGTGGCCAGGGTGAGGACGGGCAAAAGGGAGAAAAAGGCGAGCCTGGTATTAGAGGCGAGAAAGGTGATCCAGGACTCATTGGGATAATGGGGCCCCCAGGGGTGAAAGGAAGTGCTGGTCCCAAAGGTATTAGGGGAGCTCCCGGGAAGAAAGGGGCTCGAGGCCCCAAAGGTTCGAGTGGCGAGACCCCAAGTTTGCCAAGATCAGCTTTCAGTGTTGGTCTGTCCAAGCCTTTTCCACCTCCCAACATCCCGATTAAGTTTGACAAGATCATGTACAACGACCAAGGGGATTATAATCCATTGACGGGGAAATTTAATTGCACTGTTGCCGGGGCATACATCTTCTCTTACCATATGACAATACGAGGGCGGCCAGCCCGAATTAGCATCGTATGTCAAAACAAGAAGATGGTCAGAAGCCGGGAGACTCTTTATGGCCAAGAGATAGACCAGGCATCCTTTCTTACCATTTTGAAGTTAAATGCAGGGGATCAAGTTTGGCTGGAGGTCACACGAGACTGGAATGGGATTTATGTTAGTGCTGAAGATGACAGTGTATTTTCAGGCTTCCTATTATATCCTGATGAAATGCTGGATGTTTTAATATGAATGTGGCATGTGAATCTGAATTACTTGGAAAGATTTCCTTTCACTCTTGTTTATCATAAAGAAACATATTTCATAAACTAGATCACAGACTGTGTGTTTATACTTCTAATAAACATATATTAATTCATAGAAAGTGCCCTAAAATATGTGGCTTCTACTCAGAAATGGCATTTCTACCAGCACATAAAAGGGAAGTCATAGAAATGCTGTTTGGCAATAGACTGTAGGATGTCTCTAGAAATATGTCAGGTTTTAGGTCTGTGGCCAGAATTCAAGTATTATACTATGGTATCAATTTAGTTTTATATTAATGCAGGCACCAATGAAGTCTGGAACTTCACCATTCTTCACCTTTTTTTGGAGCTAGCACCAACATGGGCTTGTAACTAGAAAACACTTATATTTAGTAGCTAAAACATCCTGTGATCATTTTTACCAAATACATCCATAAATTTAGGAAAAGTCAATTCAAGATGAACTGCAAATTGAACGGACTGGAAATTTTAATGTAGAAATTATAAATTATCACTAGTGTACTGAAGAAAAAAAGGCTTAACCACTTGTCAGGTTGCTTTTGTACACCTAACTGAATTGTATTCCTTTGAAACAGTTACTAATAAAGTAAGATGACTGCCTGGTTTGAGTATTTTCTTCATAATATCTGGAGATGAAACAAAACATCCTGGGACTGTGCACCTTCCCCAAGGTTACACAGGCTGGCTTTTTATCCCAGGATGCACAGCGGGCAATTGAAGTCACAAGCTCTGGTTCCACAGCCAGATACTAAACATCTGAGCACGTTAATTATGAAATGTCACTTTATTACACCCACGCAACTACTTATAGGTAAGTGTATTATTTGTTACTTCCAAGGAGGAAGGAGAGGGCAAAGAGATTCAGTTTTCCTGCCTGGCACATTCATGTGTGTTATACAGTGGTGCCTCACTTGACGACGTTAATTCGTTCCAGCGAAATCGCTGTAGAGCGAAAACGTCGTCAAAACAAAATAAAAAAACCCATTGAAACACATTGAAAACCGTTCAATGCGTTCCAGTGGGCTGAATCCCTGCTCGTCCAGCGAGGATCCTCCATACGGGGGCCATTGTCAGTGCCTGTAAAGTGAGGAATCCATCCTAGAAAACGGTGGGGGCCCATTTTCTTCAGCCAGCGGCCATTTTGAAACCTGACAATCAGCTGTTTGCTGATCGTCGTAAAGCGAAAATCTGTTCCCGAAGCAGGGAACCGATCATCGCACAGTGAAAGAAAAATTTAAAATATATTTTATGATCGCAAAAGCGATCACAAAAACATAGATGTAAAGCGGATTTGTCGTAGAGTGGGATAATTGTCCAGTTTATGATCGCAAAAGCAATCGCAAAAACGTAGATGTAAAGCGGATTCGTCGTAGAGTGGGGTAATCGTCCAGCGGGACACGACTGTAGTATGGAGGTACATATAGAGGTGTGCCTGTGTTGGCCCTGTATATTATTTGCCATGGTTAGAGGCAGAGAGGCAGCTCTGCTTTCTGCCTTTCCCCACTACGGCACATTATTATTCCTCCCACTTCTTTCCCCTCCTCTCCCGGCATCTTGCTAAGCTATTTCCAGATGTTTTCTCCCAACACATAACACGGCCAACATACAACACTATTCTTTCTGCTCAGCGTAGGGTTGACATGACACATCGGACACAGAATATCATAGCAACATAGCATTTTTACGCCTTATTTACCCTTGCTTTAGGGTAAATAAGGAATAATATGATTTGCTTCTGGATGTGTTCTTCTGTTGACCTCATCTGCTGAAGCTGCCCTGGAACTGGCTTCTGTACAGATGAAGATTTTGGCTGCTGCACTTGTCTCAATAAGCCATTTGACACAATCATCCACTAACAGGGTGTGCACTTTCGGCATGTGCCATTTGTCACTGTCATTAGTTTGTAGTGCAAAAGGACAGCCTAGCTGAGAAAAGCTTAATAGCTTCTCCATTCTGTCTGGTGCACCAAAGGGGAACATTTACAAGCAGCAAATGCACAGCTAAGCTGCCAGGGTAAGCAGGTAGCATGTGCTCTATCGGCCTGTTCCAGTGAAAATGAAGGTTCCTTCAGTGTAGAGAGAAGACATTATGTTGTTTCTTTCAGCAAATACCATGAGGATAGTTAGTGGGGAGGTTGGCCAGTCATTGAGTCCAAGTCCCAAGTATGAGTATGAGTCTTTGGTACTAAGTCCCAAGTATGAGTCCCTATTAAAAACAAGCTTTTTCCCCCCAGAAAAAAAGGGAGAGGTGGTGTATTCCAAGTTGTGTGTTGAATCCAAGTTACTGGGGGAAAAAACATGAGTGGAGTCACTGGTGTGAATTAAGTCCAACTTGACAGTGAATCCCATGACTCGAGTGCCCATCCATGATAGAGTGAAGTCTGAGATAACTGTGGTGTTTCCTTTTAAATCCAAATAAGAAGCAGTAATATTCACCAAAAATGTTTTTAGCCTTTACAAAATGTTGAAAAAATTTTAAAACAGAGCCTGATTTGTGTAGTTCAGGCATTGTATTTTCTGTAGGTCAAATTAGATGTTAAAGGGGAAATGCATTTTCTCTAGTTCACTTGTTTTGCTTCCCATAATGAAATTTCCTCACGATGAGTGTTTGTACTTGCAAACTAGGCCTTCCAAAGATCAATTGCAAATAAAGCACTCCAAAAGCAGGGTATGTAGGTGAAGAAAGTTGCATTCTATGACAAATGTATATCCCCACTTGTGTGCAAATAAAGCACTCCAAAAGCAGGGTATATAGGTGAAGAAAGTTGCATTCTGTGACAAATGTATACCCCCACTTGTGGTAGTACCTCTTATTTATTTATTTATTTATTTATTTATTTATTTATTTAACCCTGCCTTTCTCCTTAAAAGGACCCAAGGTGGCTTACATACTGTATTTTTTGCTCCATAAGACGCACCTGACCATAAGACGCACCTAATTTTTAGAGGAGGAAAAGAGGAAAAAAATATTCTGAACAAGTAAAGTACCAGGAATGGTTCCCGCGAAGAGGGCTGGAAGTAAAACTCTGCCCCCTTTCAGAGAATGGTACGCTTTGTCTTCATACACACAACTGCTAAGGCATCAGGGGTAGGGAGCCACTAGCTCCCTTACCACCCCAGTCAGCTCATCATCTCTATGGGACTCGTCAGTTGACCACTCATGGTCTGCAAGTGCTCCTAGACCCTGCCCCAGAAGGGGAGGCGAAGGGCAGCGTGATGGCAATGGCAGCGGTGGGGGCTCAGCCTGGTGTTGAATGAACCAATATCGTAAGAATGGGAAGCCGGAGGTGTGCAAGATGGGAGACAAAGCTCGCCTCTTTCCCTGCGGAGTCGAGCTTTCATTGCCGGTGGTGGGAAGCCAAAGAAGATTCCTGGGACGTGCTGTCGGGCTTGGGTTGGTGTCAGGAGGGTAAAAAAAGACTGTGGTGGGGGAGGAGGAGTACAGAACCCAGCTGCATATGACGACGGCATGGACTCTGGGGGGGGTGTCTGTTAATGTCCACAAATTGCACCATTTTTACAGTATTCTCTTCAAAAGACGCGAACACTTTCCCCCCTTTTGGGGGGGGATGCGTCTTATGGAGCAAAAAATACAGTAATTAAAAAACAATATTTAAAGCGAAAAGCAGTGCGTTTACAAATAATAAAACAGATCAGACAAATACCATACTAAAAGACAGCAAACAAAAGCAACACCAAAACACATTCAAAGGAGTAAGGTACAACAATCCATTCAAAAACCCCATTCAGTCAACCAGTTGCTAAGGGAAAGCTTCTCTGACAAGAAATGCCTCTGCCTGCTTGCAGCAAAGATTATGCCAGCCCAGCCTCCTGTGAGAGGGAGTTCCACAGTCTGGGACCAGCAACAGAGAAGGCTCTCTCCTGTGTCCCTATCTGTGAAGACATTCAAAGGAGTAAGGTACAACAATCCATTCAAAAACCCCATTCAGTCAACCAGTTGCTAAGGGAAAGCTTCTCTGACAAGAAATGCCTCTGCCTGCTTGCAGCAAAGATTATGCCAGCCCAGCCTCCTGTGAGAGGGAGTTCCACAGTCTGGGACCAGCAACAGAGAAGGCTCTCTCCGGTGTCCCTATCTGTGAAGACGGTGGGACTGAGAAAAGGCTTCTCCCTGTGATCTTTGAGATGGAACTACATTTTCAACCTCATATGCTACTTTTAGTTAGTAGGTTTGGCTGGGAGGGAACTTTCCGGGCTGGGGTGACCCCAGCAGTAATCAATTGTTCCTTTCCTGCCTCTGCTTTCAAAGAGAGCCAAGCCTCTCTGCTTAGTGTCTCTTCGCTCCCTCTTTTTTGGTTTACCAACAGTTAGTGTGCAGTTATTTTGCAGTTATGTGAATGTAATCTGGAGGAGTTTGGGGGAAGCCGGCTGCGAGTCTGTGGGAGTCTGTTCCTGTAAGCAGTCATATTTGTACAGTTTGTGGTTCGTTTTTGATCTGTCCGTAAATGAAACCTGCTTTATTCTTTCTCTTACCAGTGTCTCAGACTGAATTGAGACTGTAAGTGCCAGTTGATGAGTGAAAAAGGGGTAGTCTACTCTGGTGAGATTTGAAGCTCTCTAAGTCTCTGCATGTCTGTTGCAGTTAGAGCAATTTTAACCAGAAATTCAAAACTCCAACACAATCCTTACCTCTGCAGCAAAAAATTTGGGTTAGGCAACATTTTTTACAATTTCAGATCTGCTTCCGAAACCTTGAATGACTAGCAAAGTATTTGTTTTAAGTACATTGATGTTCAGGATTATAGCCCAGATATCAAAATCTTTCTGAAATTTCCTGTGGACAGAATTTCAGAAGATGAATACTCCTGACTTCCTTGATATCTGAAGTTACATAGTACAAGGACTACTAAAAAATAATGGTTAAGCCAGTGAGCATTTTTATTATTCTATATAAAAATATGTTGGTGCTTGAGAAGCAGACATATCTACAGAAGCCTAGCCTCCAGCAGTCACTTGAGAAGATAAGGTTGTCAAACTGAGCAAGGAGAGCTATAAAACATAACCCTTAAGATTGAGATAATCTTTAGTGCTTAGATGGAAACCCTTTCTAATACATGGTGTCTGGTCAAGGTTCCTGGGGCTGTAAAGAATAAAGAAGAAGTAGTAGATGTTATTTATCTTGGCTGCTAAACTTTTCTCTGTAGCAGAGTAATTTGAGAATAAATTGTAACAATATGTTTCATGTATTTGCTTTTAAAAACCTATTTGCAAATTGTGACTGTGAATTAGAGAATGTCAGGTGATATAATTGAATAGCTTTTGTTCATTTACAAATACTGTACCTTTTTTTTTGTTTCCTGAGAAATGGGTAAATGGCATTAATATTGTGATCCTTCCTGTTATTCTTATTAGAAATGCTTGGCTTTAGATGCCATTTATATTATTATATCTTGCATTGTCTTCCATGATATTTTTTTTTGCGGGGGAGGGGGGAGAAGGTTTAGCTTGTCCCAACAGCCTCCCAGATACTGGGAGTGCTAGATTCTCTG